TTTTCATTCATTATGCACATTAAATTAAGATTTTGTTTGGAGAAACAGTATTGTTGACTATGAGCCCCAAGAACAATTCTTGGAATTACTAGTATGAAGTTCTAATTTCCTCTGTGACCTTGATTACATCTCTGAGTAGGTCTCCATTTTCCAGCTGATAAAATGAGAAAATGTAGTTACACCTACAGGTTCAACAGCAGCAAAAGGAAGAATAGGAGCAGGACCTGGTGATAAAGGTCTTAGAAAAGGCTGAAGTAGTGAATGTCTTCTTCATCTCTATCTTCATTGGTAAGACTTATTTTCAATAATCCCAGGTGCCTAAGACCCATGGGAAAATCTGAATCAAGGAAGACTTGGTGGAAGAGGACCAAGTTAGGGATGGTTTATATAAACTGGCTAAGCCAAAGTCACTGAGACATGATAAGATGCACCATGAGTGCTGAGGGCACAGGAATTTCCTGAATCACAGGAAATTCTGTTTAAATATGAGAAGTAACAATGGGGTGGTTTTTGTTTGGTTTGTTGGTTCTGGGTTTGGGTTTTGTTTTTGTTGTTTTGGGGTTTTTTTACCGTAGTGGTGGTTAAAGGCTGGAATAACTTGCCTAGAAAGGCTGATAATTATCTGTCACTGAAGTTATCTAAACTCATCTGGGCAGTCTTCTGTATCTGAACCTCCTCTTCTCTTGGTGATCTCTAGAGGTGTGGGATAGCCATAGGCTTCCTTTGATTCAGTGTTTATCTTTATTGAAAGGCAAAATGCATGTTGGTATGGGAGACTGATATTTAAATTCCTAAACTTGGAATTTTTTTTTTTATTCCATGAACACATTTGACCTACAATAGGGCAGAGTTTTGCTGACATACGCTGTAGGTATTAATTATTCAGTGATTAAACAGGGTTCTGAAGATATAACTACTATAACTATTAATTATATACTATCTATTTCTGAATGTGAGTTTGTATTACTAGTAATAATGTATGGCAAAAGACTTGAAAGCTTTCAAGCGTACTGTTATTATGCAGTTCTCACATATTGTATTATAGAAGCTGTATAAAATAGATAGTGCACCATATTCTACTTTGTTTCATAATCTGAATGAAAAACAACTCTATTACTTAATCATCTCTCCTTTTCTCCTTTAGATGATGTCATTAACAAATGTCTTCAACTCCATGAATAAGTAAAATTATATATTCAGAGCGTAAATGTTTTAAAACTCTAAAAATGTATCTAGAATAATTTGGGTCCTCAAGATATGTGGAAAATGAAAACCGCTCCTGGCAAATTAATAATAGCTCTGAATATTCAAATAGCAGAGTGAAAAGTGCTGTTATAATTAGGATTCAATGAATGTAAGTTGCATTTATAGCTGTTATTCCTAGCTTTTTTTGTTACTTCCTTTAGGAGCATGATTCTGCGTTCTTTTTGTATTTTTCTAATGAATGAGCGCTGCTGTGCCTTTTAATTTAAAGGATACATGCTTTTAACATTAAGATTGACAGCAACTATGCAAAAATTATATTTTTAAAATCTAGTTTATAAAACACTTGCTTTATTCTATCAGCCACTGTTCTTTTTCTTTTCTCTTACAAGGTTTTTCTTATGTTTTGACAGTAAGCATAAATGTAGCTGCAGCCCTATGAACTGATATATAATTTTTTTTTCTGAGGAATGTTAACAGTGAAAGTGCTGCACAAAAGGAATAACTAACAAATTATACTTCATCAACAATATAAGTTATTAAAATAATACAAATTATATTAATCCATGAAAATATAGCATTTACAAGAATTTTAAAAATAAAAACCCAGCAATACTAAATACAGAATGGGGTAAATTCCTGTTTAGAATTAAGAAAAAAGTAACAGTCATTACTAGCATTCAAAAAGAAAATGCTAATAGAATTTTCTTTTTACTACTTCCAGTGATATTAATACTTTAGTAGTGGATTTGGGTGCATTTGTTAGTATATTTGTATAGATAAGTCTGTTAGTTCTAAAAATACTATTACACAGTAATGATACTCTATTGAATATCCTGAAAGACTTAATCACGGTTTTCACATCAAGTTGCTGTGCCAAAACTATAATTTTCACATTGCAGAAAAGGCCAAGTTGAAATGTCTTTGTCTTTCTGTAACACTGATTGGCATTGTGCACACTTGAAATGTTCAGTGTTCAATTCATGCTTTGTTTCTGAATGGGGTTAATAATTTGAGGCAGCTGATGGTATAACACACTGTCAACAACATCCACAAAAGGAGATCTACACTTCAAGCAGTACCAGATCCTTTTTTCTTGGGACTTTTTTTGTTTGTTTATTTTTTTAAGAAAAAAACAAAATCACCATTGAAGGGTGTGTTTTAGTTTATTTATGGGTGTTGAATGAATTTACATGTAAAAATAATTGTCATGGGTTAAGATTGGCCCCCCTGACAGTCGGGGGCTCAGAGGTGATCGGGTGCCAGGGCAATGTTCCCTGGAGAGCCAATCACCACTCATGTTGTTTGCTTCTGCTCAAAATCATATATCACAGCACCAGAAGCTGTGGGCAGTTTCTCTGTTGGTGTCTGCTGTGTGTGGGTGTAGAAGGCCAGGGGGTGGCTGGGCTCCTTCCCCCCTCCAGGGGGGAGAGGGGAGCCCTGCAGCCTCCCCAACTCTGCCTAGGCCAGAGTTAGAGACAGCATTGGAGTGAGTGTGTGTTTGTGAGGGATGCGACTCACAAACAACTGGTAAGCCAGAGAGAGAGAGAGAGGCAGGCCTTGTGGCCAGGCCCTCTTCTTCTTTCCCCCCCTTTGCAGCCAGGCTGCAGGAGGGGGCTGTTTTTCCCTCTCGCTGTTTAGTGGGAGTGGATGCAAGGCTCAGCATTGGAGCAGAGCCAAAGTGGACGGGCTGATAACGAAACAGCTGGGAGAAGAATCCCAGGCAAAATTGGAGACAGGCCAAAGGGCTCGGGAGTTGCCCTGCCAAAGTTTGACCTGGGGCAACCGAAAACTGATTTGGAGGATGTTGATAAACTGACTAAACTACAGCAGCCTACGAACCAAGGTATGGGACTGAGAGAGAGAGACCACGCAACAGAGATGACACAGAATCAAGGAGAACGGACTCAAAGCTATCTTCGTGGACTTCATGAAGAAGGAAAAACCGCAGCAAACAGCTGAAGGTTGGTAGGGAAGGGTTCAGGGGCCCCGAACACTCCCATGAGAGAGAAACTGGTTACTTATCAGCCTGAAAAGGCTTTTCCTGGACTAAAGTTAAAAGGAGAAGCTTCAAAGGGACTGATAGAAGTGTAATAATATATATATAGTTGCTTTTATTTTGTACAGTATATTTATTTGTGTAAATAAATGTAAATACTTCCCCCTTCCCCTATAGAAGCTTCTGGCCTGAAAGTTTTCTCTTCTGTGTTGGGATAAATTGTGGGAAGGGGTGGGGAAGCCTGGAAATTGGATTTTGGATTTCTAATCTGGCTCAAACTGCCACAATATTTTATTCACTTTTAATAGAAAATTATTTTATGCTCGAAGGAAAAATATTGAAAATAATAATGAGTGTTAAATAAAAAGTTTATTGAAGTAGAGGAGCTAAACACATTAAAAAATATTCCTAGCAAATTCATTATCTTTTGAGCAACCTTGAACATAACTCATAACACCCCAGCCATATTCAAGAAGTAGCCCAAAGGTCATTCTTTATAGTCTAACGCACTCTGTTTACAGTTATATGTTAATAATATCTAATCCTTTTCTCTCTGTCTCTGTCTGTCTCTCTTCATGTCCTCCTTCTTTTCTTTCTCTGTGTTTCTCTCTGTGCCTCCCCCTGCCCCCTCTATCACATACAATCATCTGTGGATCTGAGAATTTCAACTGGCAAGAAGCCTGAATGTGATTCAGAAACTGAGGGTTTGTCCACATTGAACTGTTTAGCACAGGGCTCTAAGGAGCCTTTGCATTGCTGGGAAAGTACATTTGCTTTCACCCTTAGCAACACTGCAGGAATTGAAAGCCAGTTTTCACTTATAACTTTCAAATTATTTAAATTAAAATTCACTGTAAAACAGGGAAAGAATTTCCAAATATGCATTGCAGTCCTCACTGAGGTCATCTTAAAACTTCTGTCCAGAGAATATGAAAATCCATATGACAACAGTTCAAATCAGGGAAAGCAGAAGAGACTTTTGTCTCTTCAATAGAATCACATAATCCCAGAACTGCTGAGGTTGGAAGGAAGCTCTGAGATCCCCCTGCTCAAGTAGAGTCACCTAGAGCCTTTTACCCAGGATCATGTCCAGGTGGATTTTGAGTACCTTCAAGGATGGAGACTACACAAGATCTCTGAGCAACCTGTGCTGATGCTCAGTCTCTCTCACTGTGACAAAGAGTTTTCCAATGTTCAGATGGACCCTGCTGTGTTTCAGGTTCATTACCTCTTGTCACTGAGCACCACTGAAAACAGCCTGGCTTTTGTTTTCTTTACACCTTCCCTGGAGGTATTTGTATACATTTGCTAGGGTTGTTCCTACTCAGGGGAAAGCCTTTGCGTGTCTATTCGTTGTACTTCATGATGTCTGTTTATTTTTTATTTATGGAAAACACCAGTATTATTGAACCAACAGTTATATCTATATGTGGATCATTTTAATGAGACTTAGTTTATGTTAAGATATTGACTCTTCTCTGAATAAGAGTCTGAAATACCTTGAGTCTTTTCTACCTTAAGTTTACATATGTTCATCATTCCCAAAATACTTTTTGGTTTTTCATTGCAAGTTTTCTAATGACTTGAAGAACCATTGTGTTTGTTGAACATCTGTTAAGGTTATAAAGAAATGTGATAGTTATATTGTTACTATTTTTGAGCATTTCTTTGCATATGTTTAAACATCTGTTTAAATAAGAAAAAATAGCCTATTAAAAACCAACAAAAAAGAGTAACTTAAACCAGTGTAAGAAAAGTGCCATAGTATCAATAAGAAAAATCACACTTCACACCACCCTTTAGGCAGTTTCTTTTTTCTTGGCATCCTTTCTAAACCGCAAACTTTGCATCATGTCCAGAAAGTCAGCAAATCTTAATTATTGCAAAATAAGGATGACAAAAAAGTATTTAATGAAAAAATGCATCCAGTTGTAGGATATAACTGTCAATTCTAATTGGGAAAGTCCATTCCGGATCATGCCATTGTGGGAGTCAGGAAGGTGGAAGCATTCATCTATTTAAAGAAAGGAAGAAGATGTTAAACTTTAGTTTATGATTTCCTAGTATATTTGCTCTAAACTGTATCAATTAGGCACAACTTAGAAACTTCATTTGTCAGAAAAGATAGAAAAAAAGACAGCCTTCTGTTTAATTTTTTATCTTGTTATAGCTATTTTATACTTCTTTTGCAGACTATTTTTAATTAAACTTGTGTTCTTTAGTTATAAGAATTTTTAGCAGAATTACAGGAAGTTACTTCCCCAATTTAGTCATTTAATCTCTATCCTCCATTTTACACGAGGCAAACTGCAGTTGGAATGAAACCTCATGGATGAGATGGGAAATGAAGTTCATCTTAATATGATATGTTAGATAAACACAACATTTTAGCTGTTGTTAAATCTTTTTTCCTAAGTTTGTATTGTTGTTCAGTTCACTGTTCCAGAAGTTTAATTTCAGCAATATCTATTCCTCATTAAACAAGTAACTTGTTCAGAGAAATATTTTCTATTCCATGGGTGTTAAAGTTTTCTTGTATATTTGAAACTATCAAAAAATTATATTGCTTGGGCATACTGTGCTAATGGTTGTTATATTGTAGTGTGATAATATTCTAATGTGGTAGTGAAGCCCCTTAGGAAAGTCTGGGTGGTACTTCTGAGAAACCTGGCATCTGCTGAACAATTTCAGCAAGGGAAAAAGAAAGAAGAAAATGACCTATTAATAGAAGAGTTAAACTGAACAGAAAATAGACCACAAAGGGAGATAAAACAATTACTCATCTGGTCTAAACATCAAAAAGCACTATATGGAAAATTCCATTAGGGATAGCAAACTACCTTCACTCAATAAAGATCTTCACAGACATGGAGAGCTGCTGAAAACAAGAGCTGAAGATAAACTGAAGGATCTTTTTGGTTACTGAGTTACAGATCTCGGGTCCAACAACAAAAACCTTCAAGTTCAGGTGGGAAAGAAACTAATTGCAAGAAGGTGTAGCTTTAGAGAAGCAAAATTTCAGTTTGTTGCTTCCTTTTTGCTGGAATTAGGTTTCTCTGTATTTTCTCAGTAAAGGACCCAAGGCAACTATATGGTTTGTTTTTCCTTCAGGTTGTTTTTATCTTGGAAATATAAAGTAAACAGTTGAGAAGAGCAAGTTTCTGAACTGCTTAATTGACATGGAAGTAAAACAATGCATAGATGTCTATTTGGAAGTCTTTTGAGTATAAACATTTTATTTGTTTTAATAAAAAGATTTTTTTTCAAGAATCTGGTTTTGTGTTGCCCCATGCTATTGCCATTTTTAAAGCTGAGAAGTATCATGTGCAAAGTCCAAGAATTCACCCAATGAGATATTAATCATTAAACCAGTATGTAACAGTGTTGTTTGACTGAAGTTATTTGTCCCTTCAGGTTGCTTTACAGTGAAAAAAGTGCTATCTGAAGCAGTAGAAAAGTTGAATACAACGTTTCAGATCGGGTTTCCTGGAGAGAATAAGCAGTCAAAACTTATTTTGAGTACAGTTATGACCAAATATTTGTCTGGATCAGAATATCAGGAAAACAGATTTTCTAATGACATTTAAGTTTTTAATACTTAGATATTTTGGTGTATAAGCTGATTGGTAGGTAATTCTTGATAATAGGCAGAATGCTAATGTCATAGCCATCTTCAGAAATAAGAAGGAAGATCCATAGACCTACAGGTTATTCAGCCTCACACCAGGCTGTAAAGCCCCAGTCCTGAAGCCTCAAACTTTACTGGGAGTTTTACTTTTATTTAACTCTAAGAGTTATGGCTAACGCAAAAACTCTTGCAAAGCCTTTGGTTCTTTGATACCTTGAATAGCAAAAAGAGAACATGCTACAGGCATTTCCCAAGAGATTTAATTTAGTGAGAAAATAAGTGTTTTGGCAAAAGGGTTTACAGGAATAACATATAACCAAGGAAAAGCATTACACTAGAGCACCAGCAAACACCACCCCCATACAACTTAGTGAAATATCACTCGTTGGTGTTAAGTTACCCACAAGAGGAAGAAAAGAGTAAAGGAAGAAAAGAGAGGAGAAAGGAGTGAAGAAAGAGAGAAGAGAAAAAAATAGTTACCACTAAGAGGTCACATGTTGGCAGCTTCCAGGAGAGAGGGCTGAACAAGATGGAGGTCCTGTGCATCTGTTTATATGGTTTGGCTCTCTGGCCACTCCTCCCAGGCAGGACATCCGGTTCACTGACCACTCAGTGCCCTCCTAGCTGGAGTGAGGGGTGCTGGAGCCAATCAGAGGCTCCAGGGGACATAGTGTGGGTGGGCTACCAGGCAGACCTTATTGATTGACAGGTGACTCGTGTGGTTCCCGTACCATGTGCCTTCCAATCCTGGAGGCCTGGTTGGCTGTGGGCCTTACCATGTGGGCACTGATGCTTGAGGCCTGGACCCCCTTCCTCCACACACACACACACACACACACACACACACACACGAGCAAGATGATTGATTCGACCTGGCAGTCAAATAGTCCAGTGAGATACAAATCCGGTATCTCACACAGGCCTCAAAAAAATTGTGGAGCAAATCCTCCTGAAAAACATTTTGAAGACATCAAAAACAAGGGGAAGAAGCTAGTAGGGATTTACCAAGGACAAATTATACTTATCTGAACCTATTGCCTTCTGGGATGAAATCACTAGTTCGAGTGTTAAAAGGGAGAGAACTGGATCTCATTTACATGTAAGACCTTTGTCATAGTCTCTTAAAATCAAATTGTTGAAATCTAGAGTGGATAGAGGACTGTAACTATTGTTCAATGTTTTGTGTAACATCTGTGACAACAAATAGTGCACTCCAAGCAAGTTTGTGGTCAACATCAAATATGATGTCAATACCAGTTTGGAGGATAGTTAATATGCTGGAAGGCAGGGTTGAATAACCATTTATAGGAGTGTGGAAAAGCTTGAGAAACTGGCAAGCGGGTCCCTTGTGAAATTCTACAAAGGGAAATGCCAAGCCGTGCACCTGTAGATTAATAAATGCCCTCCAGTACAGACTTGGAGTTCATCAGCTGGAATGCAGCTTGACAGAGAAAATTCTGGGTGTCCTGGTTAACAAGAACTAAACAGGAACCAGCACTGCACCTTTCTGACAAATTAACCCTCCACCTCCTGGGCTACTTTAGCAAGGGTGCTAGCCAGGATTCCTAGGGAAGTGATATCCTTTATTCAGAAAGGGTGAGGGTCTACCTGTATTCAGTTCTGGGCTCCCTAGTGCAAAAAATATGTAGACATACTTGTGTAAGTCCAGTCAAGTGTTACAAAGCTGGTATGGGGATGAAGCACACAGTGAACTAACAAAAGCTGAAGGAACTTAGTTCCTGGGTAAGAGAAAGTTTTGGAAAGATATTATTTTGATCTTCATAACTCAAGAGTGTAAAGAAGACACAGCCAGTCTCTTACACGTATACAGCAAAAGGCCAATGGAAAGGGTCACAAGATGCAAGAAGAAAGTTCTGACTAGGTATAGGGAAAAAACTTGCTACTGTCCTGGTTCTGGCCAGGACAGATGTTATTTCTTGCAGGAGCTGTGGGGGAACAAAGCCTGGATCTATATGGGCGTGGCTAGGAGGTTATTCTATACCACCTCACACCATTGCTGGGGCAGGGGTAAGGGATTCTCTGGCTTCCAAGAAGAAGGTTCTCTGACTTTGGGTCTGCGGTGAGCATTTTTGCGTGTGAATCACTCTTTCGTATAATTTTGGTATTAATATTTTTACTGTTACTGTTGGTTTTCTTATCTCATTGATGTTTCCAGTAAATTGTTCTTATTTCAGCCTGTGATCTTCACCTCTTGTGCCTCAAATTCTCAACTCCATCATGCTGTGGTGGGAGGGGGAGAGGAAAAGGGAGTGAAAAAGTGGCAGCGTTGTTTAGGAGTGTCTCAGCGGGTACACTGAATTGCGGAGTACCATTCCTAATCCACAGGAGCTATATAGTGGAGAAACATAGGGGTGGTACTTAGGGAGGTTGTGGAATCTGCATGTAAAGCAGCAGTCCCAAAGCCACGCATTTGGCTGAGCGGTTTACTTATATTTAGACTCCCAATAATTTGCCCACACAAAAATTTTGCAGACTCTTAGTTCTTTGGTACCTTGAATAGCATAAAGAGAACATGCTACAAGCACTTACCAAGATAGCTTCTTTTAATTTAGTGAAAAAATAGGTGTTTTGGTAAAAGGTTTTACAGGAGAGCAAACAAATGAGAAGCATTACACAAAGGTACCCAGCAATCAGCAACAATTGGCTTAGTGAAATACAGCCGATCAGTTTTAAGTTACCCACAAGAGAAAGAAAAGAGTAGAGGAAGAAAAGAGAGAAGAAAGAGAGAGAAAAATAATTACCACCAAGAGGTCACAAGGTGGCAGATCCCGGGAGAGAAGGCAGGACAAGATGGAATGCTGTGCCCCTATGTTTATATGGTTTCTGTCATGGCCCCCCCGCTCAGGTGGGACATCTGATCCCCTGACCACTCACTGTCCCCTGTAGGGACTCTGGGGGTGTGGTGTGGGGGCTTACCAGAGGAACCCTCCTCAATTGACAGCCCAGCCACATGGTTCCCGATACTGCCATGTGCACTCTGGGCCACCAGGTTGGCTGCAGACCATGTACCTCCTGACACTGCCGTGAGGCTGCAGACCCAGCTGTGGTCCCTCCCTTGACACACAGACAGACAAGATGGTAGATCTGTCACAATAATTAAGCAATCTAGTGATACACCAGTCCAGTCTCTCAACTGGAGATGTAAGAATATCTACTCACTATTTGAGAGAGCCTGAGCCACCTGGTCTGGTTTACCCTGCTGCAGGAAAGGAATCAGACTAGATGACCACCAGAGGTCTCTTCTATCCTGAGCTATTCCATGATTCTATCAATTTAACGTTTAAAGACTAAAGCTGTGTGTCACTGTCTGGGATTATTTCCTAATACAGATCTGTAAGTTTTAGAAAGCTACTGTTTGCCTCAAGCTGCAGGTTAAAAATGAGATTTTGACTATGTCAGCAGTCTCACAGAATATCTGCTACTGTCTCTGCTATACATTTTTTTATTTTGTCTGATTTAGAATCTACCATAACTGTGTTAACTAAAATGTTTGTCAAGCAAATTAAAAAAGAGCCAATCAGACCACTGATTTTCAAGAAGAAAAAGTAGCTTCCTATCTTAGTCACATATCTTGTAATTAAATTATTTAAAGAGAGTTGAGAAATCACTGGTCTTAACTAGACTGATTAATACTGTTTTGGGGATCCCAGAATAATCAAGTGCAGTTTAAAGGTAATTGTAGAATTAGAAATAAAGGTGATAGATACTATTCTATCAGTGCTTTCAAGGTCTCTGAACTCTTTCAAAAAATTATAATGTTTAATGATTAGGGCCCAGCTTTGACATGTTGTGGGGCTTTTGTCTTTTACATTAACCTTTATGGTTTGTAGTAAGTCAAAACACAGTGAGTATTTAGGGCATATGTAACTATTTACCTTACCCTCATTTGGTTTTGGTTCTATATATGAAGTACAACTCTAAATTCACTGGCACCCAGGAAAAAAAAAGTGCAATAATATTTTAATTTTATTATAACTGTCAGATAACTGTTATAATAAAAACTAAGAATATTTGATTTCTAAAATTTCACTTCTTATTTAGCCTTTTTAGTGACAACTGCTCTAACTATGTCACTCATATTTGATATAATTTGATATACATACCATTTTCTTCAGAGTCAAACAAAATGCTCCTGATATTTTTTTCATACATGGCTTTTCAAAAGTGGCTTTAATGCCATAGAGAATATTGAAACTACTGAAGATGTTGATCCAATTGAAACAATTTTAATGATCTGCATGTTACTGTTATGGGTAATTTAAATGATCCAAGTGAATAAAGTGAATAAAAAAATAATAAAAATTAATTAGTCAAACTTTTTTGAATGTTGATTTTTGTAAGACTATGATATCTCACTACCTTCTCAATCTAAATTACTCTTATTTTGTCTTATTTCTTATATTCATGAGGGAATGGTAGGAAATCCCATTTAAATTAATCTTCAGTAATTTTTAATTCTGCCTTACTGTCACACTATTGACTTTCATATATCTTATTCGTCACTAAATAATTTCTGTATTTGAAAAAAGTAAATACAATAGCACACACTTTATTAGCTACCGCTCCATTTCTTAATTTTCATCCCAGCTATGGAAAAAAAAATAGCAAATACAGTCTAGTTTGTTGTAGAATTATGAGGAACTGGAGTTTAGCTCGTGAAATACTGCTATTAGAAATAAGGCTGGCTTTTTGGCTTTGGAAAAAACCATAGGACATTACTTAATATGATGTTGAGTTCAGGGGTTTTAGTTTTCTAAAACAAAAAGTAATTTTATCAGTATCAAATCTGTATGCTCAGATTTTTTTGCTAGTTCATAGTTCCACAGAAGTTAATGAGAATCCATGCTATTAGCAGAACACGCAAGCTTAGGTAGATTGACTGCAGTACCAGGATAAAATTAATTTTGGACCTGTACAGAGAAATATGTAACTTCTGTATCTGTAACTCGAAAATGTTGCATATGATAATTTCAAGTGAGTATAGTTGTTTAAAACTGAGTCTTCTTAACCAGTTATGAAGAGGTACTTAGATTTCACAACCTTAATTTGCCTGGTTTACTCTGTATTTGAAATTCTATTGAAAATATTCAGCTAAAACTTTCTTTTCTTCTATCCATGATTTTTCCAAGGATCTTTTCATGATGTGGTGAACTTCAGTATCAATATTCAAGATCCACACTGTGTTTCACAAATAGACCTTTTAAAAGAATTTATAGCAGTCTTTATTAGTTGTAGTGCTTCTAGATTTTTTTCTTTGTTTTTGTCTTGTTTCAGATTTTTTTGTGTTGGTGTTTTGTTTTGGGGGGTTTTGATTGTTTGTTTGTTTGTGGGTTTTTTTGTTTGACAGAGATTATCCTAGATAATGGCATTTTGGTTTACACATCAACAGGTGTTTTATAGAAAACAATCACATATGTTTTGGTAGATAAACTTCAGTTTTGCCGAAGCAGGCTTGACCTTTTAAAGGAGGATCCAGTTCAATGTATGCAATATGTTTCACAGTAGCAATTTTGAAACAAAATCTTCTGAT